AAAATTACTTCCTATTTTCTTGAAGAAGGGCTATTTACGCCCGAAAGCTCGAAGACTATTATTTTTGAAATAAAAGAAACTTATCCTCGGAATTTATTTATGTTTGCTGTTTATTATACACCAGAGGATTCCACCTTATGACTAACGGAAATACAAAAATTTCAATATCTAAATGCATCTGTTAAGGGTCCTGCGGAAAAGTTGATTCGGGGTTTTCCCATTTCTGACAAAAACTACCAGCAAGCATGGGATACCTTATGCAATAGATTTAATAACAGAAGAGAATTGGCTTTTTCACAAATCAACAAAATATTCTCCATAAGGCCATTAAAATCTATTTCGGCTGGTTCTCTCTATGAAATCCTTGATGTTTGCAATGAAGGCATTAGAAATCTCTCAGTGCTAGGACTTGAGAAAAACACATTAACAGATCTAATCCTGATCAATTTTTTTGAAAAAAGAATCGGTGAAGCCCTCAGGAAAGAATGGGAATTAACCCTTCAAAATGAAGAATATCCAACATTTGAAAACTTTGTGAATTTTTTAGAAAAACATGCTAGAAGCCTGCAAGGTATGAGAATTCCTTTGTTCCAGGAACAAAAAACCTCTAGCAAAAATATGATGGCTCACGGCCTTTATGTCAACAAAGGTCAAAATTGTATTTTATGTCATCAAATTCATAAACTAAATGACTGCCATAGATTCATAAATCTTCCCTTGCCTAAAAAATGGGAATTAGTTAAAAAACATAAACTTTGTCAAAATTGCCTTAGAGCAAATCATGAGATATCCAAATGTCTCATCACATCAAGATGTAAAAACTGCAAGCAGAACCATCATACTCTTCTGCATCAATACAACTCTGAACCATCCATTTCACAACCAACAACCTCTCAAGAGATGTTGATTTCAACAAATACCATCTGTAATGTGATGCCTTTGGAAACGGAAACAAATATTCTACTGTCAACAGCCCTTATTAAAGTCAAGGCGAAGGATGGCTCATTTGTGCTATGTAGAGCATTAGTGGACAATGGGTCCCAAATAAGCCTAATTTCAGAACAATGTTGCCACAAGTTGGGACTTGAAAAAAGGAAAAATTCTTATACACTAAAAGGTGTAGGTGACATTGTTGTCAACAGGACAACATCGCAGGTTGAAATAGAGTTCACCCCACATCATAATGATTAATTATTTTCTGCCAGAGCATTTGTGGTTGGGAGGGTAACTGCAGACCTTCCAAACTTCCAAATTCAGTCAGCAGACTTTCCTCATTTAGAAAATTTGCTCTTGGCAGACCCAGAATTCTATGTCACCAAGCCCATAGACCTAATTTTGGGTGCAGATACCTTTGTAGAAATAATTCTAGGTCATAAAACAGATTTAAAGCACCATCCTATAGCACTTAATACCAAGTTAGGTTGGCTTGTTTCTGGGAGAATCCATTCAACTATTAAGTCGAATACTTCGGTAATCAATCACTGTACCACTCAACTTGATTCCAGCATAAGAAAATTCTGGGAACTTGAAGATGTCCCAATTTCTAAGGCCCAGTTGGGTATAAAGAATGCCCCATCTCCAAGTCTACAAGAGTCCATTCAGAACTCTCCAAGTCTAAAGGAGTTCACTCAGAACTCTCCAAGTCTACAAGAGTCCATTCAGAACTCTCCAAGTCTAAAGGAGTTCACTCAGAACTTTCCAAGTCTGCCGGGGTCCATTCAGACCTCTCCAAGTCTACCAGACTCTGTTCAAGGGTCACCGTCTCTAACTTTGAGCCTACAGAGCTCCAAACACAACTCTCCAACCCCCTTACAAGTATCAGTTCACAGCCTGAAAGAGGCCATGTCCCCTTTGGTCGAAATGCCATCAAGCCCTGGGTGCTCCAAGCAGATTCCAATTCCTATAGAAGAAGACTCTATAGAGAGCCAGAACCGAGTTGATAATCTGCCATCCTACCCGATGAGCCCAGAGCAGAGTTACACTCTCTCATCGGCTTCTGTTGAAGATTTCAAGACCCAAAGTGGGCCCAAGTCCCCTACATCTCCCACCAGAGGTTCAGAGAGTTGCCGATGTTCTGGGGATTATACAGAGCCCCATATGTCTCAGAACTCCAATTTTTCATGCTCCTCTATAGAAGAATCTGAAGATAATTCAAGTAAATCTGAAGAAAATCTAAGTAGATCCGAAGATAATTCAAGTAAATCTGAAGAAATTCCAAGTAAATCTAAAAAGTCACGTATCTCTAAGTTAACTCCACAAATTACTACTAAACAAAACCAATTACTTCCTTCTGAATCAAGTCAACCATCCACTCCAGAACAACCTCTCGCTTCTCAGTCAAGTGAACCACTCTCATCTAAGAAAGAAACTTCGATTATTCCTAAGATAAAGCCACCACCCTATTATAGGCGAAAACGTCAACTTCCTGCTGAGAAAACTTCATGGGATGAACCAATTGAATCAGATATAAAGTCAAATTGGAATAAATTCCAAACTCAACTATCGTGCCTAAAGGAAATCAAAATACCAAGATACCTGAACAGCTCATCTTCTGAAATAGAAGAATTACAACTACATGGATTTTGTGATGCATCCCTTATTGCTTATTCAGCAGTTTTTTACTTGAAAACTAGATTCAAAATTCAAAAGATCAAAATCAATCTGATAACCTCAAAAACTAAGGTTGCACCATTAAAGACCATTACAATTCCAAGACTTGAACTAAGTGCAGCATTGCTTTTGGCTCAACTGAATCAAGTCATTCTTGAATCATTTCCTTTTCAACTTGACAAAACCTTTTTGTGGACTGATTCACAAATCTGCATAGATTGGATAAGATCAGATGCCAGCAGATGGAAGGCCTTTGTTTCGAACAGAGTGTCGTCAATTCAAAATTTGACTCAAATCACTGATTGGTTCCATGTATCCAGTCAAGATAATCCAGCTGATTGCGCATCAAGAGGAATCATGCCTCAAGACTTGGTCAATCATAGAATTTGGTGGCGGGGTCCTATTTGGCTTCAAGAAAATAATGTTCGATATATTCCTTCTTCACCAACCCAAGTAAATCTCAATATTATTCAAGAAGAAGTCGGTGAGGGTCAAGTGTTGGATCAAACAACCTTAATTCAAAATTCAGAAACTATGTTAAATCTAGAATTCATTGTAAGGTATTCCACAATGACCAAATTGATCCGAATCACAGCTTGGTGTTGGAGATTCGACTACAATTGCCTCCTCTTTGATCCAATTCGTCAGAAAGGACCTTTGACAACAAGAGAATTAACAAAGGCAATTCAAGTCTTAGTCAAATCAATCCAGCAAGTTGAATTCTGCACAGAAATAAAATTACTGAAGTCAAACAAACAACTACCTCTGTCCAACAAGCTAACTTCTCTAAATCCCTTTTTAGACACTCAAGGACTTCTAAGAGTTGGAGGTAGACTCAAGTATTCATATTTAAATGAAAATCAAAACTTCCCTCTCTTACAACCGAAACCCCCACGCCAGGAATCACTTATCAAAATTCTCTTAACTGAGAATGCCGACATTCCTGAGGCTATTGATGAGAATCAAGAAGATTCTTCAATTTTAGAAACCACTTTTGTCATTGAAGACGAAGAGTCTAACAAAGATATCGGGACTCCAAAGATTGAAATCTCCGAAGTTTCGGTTATTGATAAATCGGAAGGCAAATATTCGAAAGAACCAGTGGTCAGTGCAGAAGCTCTGGATAAGAAAGAACTGTGCCATGATGACTCAGCTCACCTCAATGTAGTTGAAGCTGATCTTAATCGACCTAAAGAGGCTACCAGTGGCATAATCAATGTTTATACAGAAGCTAATGAATCGTCAAGCAAAGAGAAAGTTGTACCTGTTGAAATTGTGGATACATCAACAAAGGATTATCTACAGAGAGGTGAAAAGGCTAAATTATCCCGCTGGAAACCCATCGATTCTCTATGCTTAGAAGACGTCAAGGAATCTGAAGACGACGATGAAAATTACAGTTCATCGGCATATATAGAATGGCCAGAAATCTTGAAGAAAGAAGTCTTAAGACCCGAAGCTTTAGAAAAGGCAGTCAATCTGGAAGATTTTGAGAAGGCGGCAGAAAGTCGACAACTCTCCAAAGAACATTTAGAGGAATCGACCGAACAAGGCTCATGCATAAAGGCTGAATCAAAACCTTGGGAAGATCCTATTGAATCCGGCTTAGCAGCCGCAGAGTCTGATAATCCAGCAGTTCCCGAAAGAGAACTGGCCAACGAATCTGAAAATCTCATCCAAGATTCACCTCAATCGGATACTCAAAGATGGAAGCTGATTCCATTACCTTTCAAACAATGAGAATTGTAATCTTAGCTACATAGTCGGAATCAATTAGTCCAGCATCTATACTATTGGAACTCTTTTTTATTTTTATTTATTTTTATTTATTTATTTTTTTTTCTGGTCATCTCTTCCCAGCCGGGGGAGTATGTTGGATCCTATAGTTAATAATTTCCTTAAATTCAATTTTATATATGAAAATTAAGTCAAAATCTTCTAAATTCAATTGTACAATATAAATCTTTAATATGTAAATTTTAAAGCAATCAACATGTATGTAAATTTACAGTTTGGTTAATTAATATAGCTTTTTTGTTTTCTCTCTCTCTCTACCACTAGTATCAAAATCTAAGTCAATTTTTCATGTATTCAAAATCATGTGGTAGCTACTCATAACTCTAAAACCCAAAGAAAATAAAACAATTCAAGACAAGTGGCAAAGTGCTTCTTAGTATCTTTTACTGAACATTCAAGCCACGAACAGTAACATTTAAAATACAATATAACGCGGCTGATGATTGTAAAACGAAAATTGAAATTATACCGCGAATTTTTCTTTTATAAAAATCAAAATTTATTTTCAAAGAGAAATAGCGACATTTCTAACTTTGAGGATGAGGCATGGAAAGGTGAAACATGAAGAGTAATGGCGAACGGAAAATAAAAAGTGTCCATGGGAATCGAACCCACACCCTTCTGCTTACCGGGCAGGTGCCTTGTCCACTCGGCTACCCTGGACGTATTTTTCCGTTCGTAACTAAAACTTAAAGTAACATTTAAAATACACTGCGTGACATTGAAAATGGAACACCAAGAAATAATGGCCAGAAAGTGATGAAACTCGGCAGACAGAGAGAGACAGGGACGAACAATAAGTGATCTTTATTTCAAAATGATAGTCATAATACTGAGCGAGAACGGCGTCGGCTTAGTAGCAAGTAGGACCACCGCGGACGGCGATGCACGCAGCAACACGTCTAGGTAGAGAGTCAATCAGAGTACGGATGGCGTCCTGAGGGATGGCTCTCCATTCCCTCTCAACCATTTGCCACAGTTCGTCTTCTGAACGCGGCTGTGGCAAGGCATGCAAACGGCGTCCAATGATGTCCCAGACGTGCTCGATTGGTGAAAGATCAGGAGAGTACGGTGGCCAGGGAAGCATCTGTACATCTTGCAGAGCTTGTTGGCTAATGCGAGCAGTGTGCGGTCGGGCGTTATTCTGCTGATAAAGGGCATTGGGTACCCCCTGAAGGTAGGGGAGTGTCACCGGTCGCAGCACATCATCAACGTATCGTTGGGCCGTCATAGTGCCCTGAATACGAAGTAAAGGTGACCTGGATTCATACGCGATTGCGCCCCAAACCATGATTCCACGTTGTCGCACGGTGGGGCGTTCCACAATTTCTGCCGGATTGGACCTTTCTCCACGTCGACGCCACACGCGTACACGGCGACTATCACTGGACAAGCAGAAACGCGACTCATCTGAGAACACGACCCTGTGCCATTCCGTCATCCACGTCGATCTAGCCCGGCACCATTCCAAACGTTGGCGCCTATTCGGTGGGGTCAATGGCAGTCTTCTTAGCGGACGGCATGAGTGCAAGCCATTAGCAACCAATCGACGGGAAATGGTTCTGGTTGAGATGGAATGATCTAGGGTGTCTTGCACATGTTGCAGGATGGCGGTACAAGTGGCTTGTGGGGCCGCCACTGCTTGTCGAAGGATACGCCGATCCACACGTGCTGACGTCACTCTGGTTGCACCAACATTCCTATAAATTGCCACATTTCCTTGTTCCAACCATCTTCTCCACAGTCAGTGCACCGTGGACGCACCAAGGTGTGTATCAGCTGCGATTTGACGTATTGACCAACCTGCCCTTTTCAGTCCGATCACCATGCCCCTCGTAAAAGCGTCTGTCTGCTTGAACTGCCTCCGTTTACGATGACCTGGCATTCTCTGTTATTACACGTGTCTTTTGACACAAGAACAAAATTTCTACAATGATTTTCTTTGAAGAAATAACGACACGAATACTGTCCTTTCTGCAAGTTCCTTCCCTTATATCTTACTCCATGTGCGCACGAGAGCTGCGCATTTTACATCATTTGCATAACTCGGTTAGGCGCGTCTACCCTGAAATTTGCATAATATTCTGGCCACTATTTCTTGGTGTTCCATTTTCAATGTCACGCAGTGTACAATATAACGCGGCTGATGATTGTAAAACGAAAATTGAAATTATACCGCGAATTTTTCTTTTATAAAAATCGAAATTTATTTTCAAAGAGAAATAGCGACATTTCTAACTTTGAGGATGAGGCATGGAAAGGTGAAACATGAAGAGTAATGGCGAACGGAAAAATAAAAAGTTCCCGCCCCTGGACACTTTTTATTTTTCCGTTCGCCATTACTCTTCATGTTTCACCTTTCCATGCCTCATCCTCAAAGTTAGAAATGTCGCTATTTCTCTTTGAAAATAAATTTCGATTTTTATAAAAGAAAAATTCGCGGTATAATTTCAATTTTCGTTTTACAATCATCAGCCGCGTTATATTGTATTTTAAATGTTACTTTAAGTTTTAGTTACGAACGGAAAAATACGTCCAGGGTAGCCGAGTGGACAAGGCACCTGCCGGTAAGCAGAAGGGTGTGGGTTCGATTCCCGCCCCTGGACACTTTTTATTTTTCCGTTCGCCATTACTCTTCATGTTTCACCTTTCCATGCCTCATCCTCAAAGTTAGAAATGTCGCTATTTCTCTTTGAAAATAAATTTCGATTTTTATAAAAGAAAAATTCGCGGTATAATTTCAATTTTCGTTTTACAATCATCAGCCGCGTTATATTGTATTTTAAATAAATAGTGTGTAACGTTCCAGTAACAGCATTGTTACCATCATAAGACAAAAGTACTGAATGAATGATCATTCAGCGATGGTAACAATACTGTTACTGGGGGTCGATGGAAGGGTGATCTAAACTGTTTGTTTTTGACCGCTACGACCTAGGATTGAATCCCGCATTGGGCACTTCTTTCAGATAAAAAAAAAATGCTCCAATGGCCCCTGATTCTTTCAAAAGTCCAACCCCACCAGCAAGTGCAAGTAACCAAACGGAACTCTGGTACATTTGTAAGTCAAAAATTCGAACTGCTTTTCACATCTGTAGACATGTGGTGCACTTACAGTAAAAGCAGTCGCCAACTTCTACCCACCATGAATATTATGGCCTGTACCACGTGTACTAAGGATAAGGCAAAAAAAAAAAAAACCCTGTTACTGAAACATCTCACACTATTTATTTATTTGGTCTTAATTACCTTTTGCCTCTAACATATAATCCAAATTGTGCCATATCATTCTAGAGCTATAGAGTATCAGCCGGAGGAATCATTGCACCACACAATGTCATCGGCTAGATGAAGGTCATCCGGTGGATAAAAACTTTAAATAAACTTTCTCTTTCTTGGTCACACTCAAAGCTCCTCTAGATACAATCAGGGTATTGGCAAAATGTTTCTTTATTGAAAATAGGGCTAATAATAATGAATAATAAATAATGAAAACTGCCCTTTATAGAGAGATGTCCTCTAGTGCGAGTGTCCTCTCATGGAGGTTCTACTGTTTTTGATAAAATATATACAGTACTACTAACTCGCTGTAAAGGACACCTAAATGCAGAGCCAAAGTGTTCTTTATGGAAGAGGTGTCCTTTAACCTGAGAGTTCCTAAATAGTAAAAATAGTAATTTTGTCAATGAAAACTTTCCTTTGTAGAGAGGTGTACTCTAGGGAGAGTGTTCTCTCATACCACTACTACTGTAACATAAAAATAAACAGAAGAAATTATCATTTATGTAAAAAAAGCTCATTCCTGTCACTTGTCTTTTTAGAAAGGCAAGATTCTCCAACATCTACACTGTGTGTTGGTGGTGGATTTTTCTATATAAGACAACCACTCAATCAATATAAAAGAGAGAAACTTACAAATTTATCAGGGCTCTTGATTGGGCTTTACATTCTTGTAGGATATCCTCCTCATCCATCAACTCTTTGAGGGTGATATCCTGGGGAACACAGATATGTTAGAACATACAACACCAACAAGTGTCCTACTCTAACTGGAGAGTAGATAATTAGTATATAAATAGTATTTATGATGATATGAAAACTATCTTACACATTGTAGAGAGATGTCCTCTAGTGGGAGTTTGTCCTTTCAGGAGTATGTTCTATTATATAGGTATTTTGTAACTTTACAATGGGTCAATACAAGTCTCATGCAGTGCCTGTTCCTATACAGAGTTTGATCATGGAACACAGTTTTACCCAGTTCTGTACTATTCACTTCCTAGTTTCTAATTGCACAGACAATCATTCTATTAGATGATCAAACCATTCCTTCTTGGTCTACCTCTCCCCTCATTCTTTATGGTGTGTATCTCTTCAGTATAATCATCTATCTTTAAATTCCAGACCACCATTCTATTACATTATCCAATCCTTCCTACATCTCCCTTCAAGCTGTGTATCCTCCAGTATATCTCAATTCTATATATTAATATAATACATTAGCGCACCATCGTTTTAAGAAATTTAAACTATTTTTGATGTGTGTATGATTCTTTTCTAAATAAAAATAATTTTATTTATATAATAATCCTCTTAAAGAATAACACCTAGTTACACGTCCCACAATCAATGTCCCATATACTAGATGACTGCCCGCTGTACAAATTCAATGGAGGAATCTCCAATCTCCATTCTGTCACCCCGGAAGCCCTGAACTGGCTGAAGGACTTGCCTCTCAGACTTTAATGACCGATATGTCCTCACTTCTTTTTTCTAGATTTAATTCATTTTGTCTCCTCTCTAATTGTAAATACGCTGCTGTATCACCTCATAAGCATAAATAAATAAACCTAGTTACAGAGCCAAAACTGTCCTTAGGAAGAGATTCCCTCTTATACTGAGGCTAATATTTTTTTATAATTGTTTATAAAACTGTCCTTTGCACACACAGAGCTGTCAGTTAGGGGAAATGTCCACTTATGAAGGTTGTTCTCCTGTAATTGCCATCTAGACACTTTTATAAATTGGTTAAAATGAAAACTATTTTATGTACTGACCTTTTTCCCTTTATTTGGTTATGAGAAAAAAATAAAAGTCATATAGTTTCTAGAGTCCCAACCAACATTCATATGCTTTTGGAAAAAAAGAAAAGGATATTTCAGTCAAAAAATATATCTTAATTGATATTAAAAGAATTCTTTTTTTTTACAGGAGGTCCATCTACTCTCATTAGATATCCAAAATAGTTCAGTCTTTGCTTACAATGTTCCAATGTCTTCATGTCAGAGGTGGTCATTTAATAGTGAAGTCTACCTTATACTGAGGAGTGTTCCCAGTCTTAAAAATAAAACCTTTTACTTCTCTCAAATCATGATGCTCATGATTGAGATGGGCGATAAGAATTTTATAAAATATAGGGAGGACACACTTACCTCTTTTTCTAATAGGTTCTCAATGTGGGATATATTGGTTAAATTGAACTTCCAAAACATTGTTCTGAAACACAACATCCAGGGTCAAGTTGGGTAAGGGAGGGAGGATACATAATGGGGACACAAGTGGGAGAGATAACCTATAATTGTATTGTTAGAAGTGATAGACACTAAGAGAGAGAGAGTATAGTGTCATGTTAGGTGCAGCAGCAAGTAATATTACTTTGTTACA